GCTCCTACGAAAGTCTCAGGAGGCGCCAAAGGGGCCCCAGGAGGCCTCCAAGCCATTTTAGCGAAGGCCAGGAGGTTCTCGAGGAAGAAGAACATCATGCAAAGCCGAGGATATCCACAGGCTCGTGAATGTCCTGCGCTCCGGGGACCCTGGGTGAGAAGGCGAAAGCCCACCCCCACCCCCAGCCCCGACTCCATCCCCGAACCCGCGATTCAAAGGAGTCGGGACTGGGGTTGGGGGGGGGGGTTCGGGGTCCAGGAATGGAAAAAAACCAGTCCCGCCCCAAGTCCCGGCCCTGGAGGCGGGGGAGGCGAGGCACCTGCCTGCTGCTCGTGTCGGGCCGCTGAGGGTCGGGGGGGAGGAGGAGGAGGAGGAGGAGGAGGAGGAGGAGGAGGAGGAGGAGGAGGAGGAGGAGGAGGAGGAGGAGGAGGAGGAGGAGGAGGAGGAGGAGGAGGAGGAGGAGAGGAGGAGGAGGAGGAGGAGGAGGAGGAGGAGGAGGAGGAGGAGGAGGAGGGAGGATCGCCGGCTCGGGGATGAGCGTCGGGACTGAGGCTCCAACCGCCCAAGACGTCGTCGGAGCACGGCCCCGGGTCCCACGGCCGTGCGGCCGCCCCAGCTCCCCACGGCCCCGCCGCGCGGCGGCGCCACCGCCACGCTTTTGGGGGCCTCCGCCGCCCGTGCGGGGAGGCCTCCCGGGTCCTCGCGAAGGTTTTTTTTGCAATCCTTCGTTGTTTGCAATCCTTCGGGTTTTTGTTGCAATCCTTCGTTTTTTTTGTTTTTTGGCAATCCTTCGGTTTTTTTGCAATCCTTCAGTCGAGTCGTTGACCCACGGAGCCCTGAATCAGGCACGAGGCCCGTGTTTGTTCATGAGGCAACCTTCGGCTTCCCATCGAAAACTTGAGGAGAACCTCAGCCAAGGCGTGCAACCATAAAGGAACACCGAGCCCATCCCCAACGAAAAGGGTTCCTTCTTCAGCGACCCGACTGTAAAGGCTCCATGGCCTGGCTGCGCGGCTTCGCCGCGCGAGGTCGGCGGGCAGCGCGGCCGAAGCATCACCCGAGGACTCCCGGATGGAGCCGGAGCGGAGGGCGTCAGAAGACCGCGCCGCGCATCATCGATGAAGCGGCGATGCATCGGCGATGATGAGCGCGTTTTCCACCACCACCACCATAAGTTGGATGGGGCGAAGGGGGAGGAGGAGGAGAGGAGGAGGAGGAGGAGGAGGAGGAGGAGGAGGAGGAGGAGGAGGAGGAAGAGGAGGAGGAGGAGGAGGAGGAGGAGGAGGAGGAGGAGGAGAACCCCCCCCCTCCAACTTATGGTGGTGGTGGTGGAAAACACGCTCATCAGGCGACGTCGGCGTGGAGAAGATCGGGCTCCACGTCGAGCCGCATCGGCGAGGCATCGGCGATGCCGCGCGACCATCCGACACCCATATACGCACTCCGACCCCATCCGGGAGGCCCAGACCCGGTCGGCGTGGGCTGTCGGGGAGATCATTCGGCCCTCGAGCGGACGTTGGAGACGCCCTGGGCACCCCCGGGGGACGCGCTCGACGGCGCGCAGCCGCCGAGAAGCGCCCCGATGCCTGCAGGCGTCCGAGATCCCCGGCGGCGGCCACTCTGTGAAGCTACAGTCAACCCGTATAGTAGTGAGGACGCGCGGTAAGGACGCAAGGGCCTGGGCCACGCTGGCGCTTTCGGACGAGGCTGGCCAGCGAGAGTCGCCAAGGACAGGCCGAAGGGGCGAGGGGCGAGTCTGCGCGGCTCTGCGGCGCGAGGTCGGCGGTCAGAGCCTGCCGCTGGAGAAGGACCACGGCGACAACACGCCCTCGCGGCAGTAGCCCTGACAAGGCTTCGGCCATGCTTCGGGATGCGCTTAGACAGCCACCCAAGGCAGTCCCAGCTGGCCTCAGCAGGCCCCCCGAGTGTAGTCCCACCTGGCCCCAGCGGGTTCCCCGAGCAGCCCAACGGCGGTCTGAGAACCATGGCGCCGCCTCCAGCGGCGCCTCTGGGGAGCTCCGCGCCCAGGGTTGAGGCCTTGAGCGACGCAGCCACGCCCCAGGGCCCGTCAGGACCCCTGGGGCGCACGTGGCGCTCGCGGAGAAGGCGAGCCGCGGCGCGGCGCGGGCCGCCGAGCGTGCGGCGGAGGGCCTCGTGCGGGGAGAAGGCACTCCCCTCGGCCCGCACCTTCCGCACCTCCCGCGCGGCAGGTGCCGCGCTGCGGCGGCCGCCGCGGCCGCTGCCGCGGCCGCCGCGGCGGCCACCGTCGAGACCGCAGCGGCGGACGCTGCGGCCGCCGCGGCGGCAGCATCGAGGCGGCACTTTCCGCTTGGAAGGTGCGGACGGGGCAGGCCGAGGGCTCGGCGACTGGTGTCCCCACCTTGGCGGTCTCCAGGCGCCACCCGCTCAGGAGGCAGAATCTGCGAGGCGGGGATACATCCATGTCCAGGGCCTGTGGAACCGACGACCTGGGACCTCAGCGGCCGGTGGCTATGGATATATTTGGGCCCCAAGGATCCCGAATATGTCCATATCCAGCGCCTGTCGATGTCTCCGGAAATCGGCACCCCCGACAGTGGCTAAGTGTAAATCCTCCCCTCGGAAAATCCTCCTGGCGGCGTCGTGCAGGGCCGTCGCGGCCGTAGAGCAGGCGAAGGAGTGCCCCTCTTCCTCGCACGGGGCGCTGTAGGCTGGAGGCGTGAACTGCCGTCTCGAAGAGCAGGCGTTACCGCTCAGCCCAAGCCCTTACCAGGTTCAAAGCCCGCCCGAAGCCGACCAGCCCTGTGCGGAAACTGGACCGACTGGCCAGGCGTCGCCGCGGAAGCGACCGGCCAAACATTGCCGCAGCCCCGCTCCGTGAACGCTCTCCGAAAAACGCCACTGTGGGCTCACCGAGCAGGCCAGGACCAACGACGTCGTCAACTCGCAAATCGACCCAGACCAGCCGGATTGGACCGCAAAGCCGGAGACCGGATCGACCAGATTGGAAAGAGGCGTGTCAGCCCTTGCCGCCTGTAGAGGGATCGAGTGTGGTGCCGCCAGCGAGCGTCCGCCTGGGGAGCAGCGTGTGCTCACGTGTTCCTTACAGCTCCACGAGCCTACGCCGTGACGCGTTCGCCTCCGCTGCGTGGACCCCTGACTGCCACCAGCTGAGCTCCGCCGGTGCGGTGCCCGTGCAGTGGGCAGCCACGACGGCCTCTCCTGGGCCAGCAGAGCGCGGGCAGCGCCGCGGCAGCAGGGGGGGGCGCCCACTGCGGGCGAGGGAGTCTTCGGCTGGGCCCTGGGAGGGGGCCTGGACGGCGTGGTTGTGCAGTGGGAGACGGTTGAAGGCAGAATCCCGGGTGCTGGTCTCACGCAGGCGCGCGCGCGCGCCAGCGCAGCCGCGGAATTGGCTGCGCGCTCTTGAGCCAGACGCGCGTTGGACATTGCCCGGTAGGCCATGCATTCCTTACTGCTCGGCCTGAGAAGAAGACCAAATTAGAAAACACATGCGGAACATAATCGGCACGCATACTTACACAAAAGCTTGAGCACGAACATAGCTTGCACATGCGCGTAACTTGCCAATGCTAAGCGACAGTCAATAGTAGCATCATGTTGGTTTGTTTCCCAAGTACACCATTTGTTTGGAGGAAAACAATGAAGAGGCAGCGGACGAGCGAACACTTTACGAGTAAACCATGCACTCCGTGGCAAGACGCGGCAAAACCTGTTTGGTAGTGCAATGCACAACAGCATCCCGCGCGCCAAAAAACATCAGCGGGAAGAGGAAATAGGAGGGTGAGGAGGGCGTCAGTGACGAGGAGAGGGGAGACAGGACAAAAGCGTTGCGGGCGCATCCCCGATGGCCAGCTAGCCGGTTATATGATGCTCACAACGGAGATTACAAAACTTAACGATTAGCGAACAAAAAGCGCGAGAGCAGCAACAACCAGACACAACACCAGCGAGACTGCAGCAACGCGAACTACAACCAGGGGAGCAAATGTGGGGAGTGACAGACGGCAGTGCGTCTAAGCGGAGTTCGCACGAGGGCGGCGCCTGGCCAGTCGCAGAAGGTCTTCCAGCTCCGTGTCCCCTCCCCTCGAATTCAAAACCAGATGTAGCACGAGGAGGGCGAATGTGCTTTCCTCGTCTGGTGACGCCTCGTCTGGTGGCGCCAAGCGGACAGCCATTCAAACAGAAAGGCCTGGCATCGTGACAAAATTCCTGATCGGGAACACGCCGCATACCTTACTGCCTGGGGTGTTTGGTGCGAGGCTCCGGACTGCTCGGGTCATCAACCGTAGCCTCGTCTGTGTGTCGCTCAGCCTTCTTTCGCTTGATCAAAGATGGAGAGTACACAGAACTGCTTCTCGACCGGATCTGGTGATGCATTATGTGGTGTGTGCAACTGTCATCCCCGTCCCAATGCACACGGTAGGATCCGTCGGGACGCACTCTCATCACCTTTGCTGGGTACCATTTGCCTTGCCATTTTGCTTCCACATCAGCGCCCAGATGCCAACGTCGGGCCCTAATGCTCGCGAGCGGCATCGCCCCTGTGAATGTGGCCTCCCCGTCCCAGTGCACGGAGTAGCTGCCATCGGAGCCTCTCTTGCCGACAATTGCAGGAAACCACGCGTTGTCGAACTCTGCCTCCACTGGTGACCCTACCAGCCAGTCAGACTGGCCACCTTGGCTGATCAACTTCTTCAAGGCTTCATCGTCAGGGATACGGGGCTTAAGCTGGGATTCTATTGGCAACTCAATCCACGAGCCTGTAAATTTGAAGTTGATTGGTAAAGTGTACTCGAGCAGTGACTTCGAAGCTCGAGATTGCAATGGTTTCCACCCAGTCGAAGAGCAGAGCCGTACGGTGCAGCTGGCTGTCCATGACCCAGGGCCAGTCGGACCACCACAGTGACGCATCTCGCTATCCAGCACGACAACAGGAGACGCCACACGCCGCATACATTTCCACATCCAATCTCTTGTTCTGCCGTTGGTGAAGGCGGAAGTCACAACCTGTGTCGTACAGTTTGTGGTGCGGTCAGGCTTCCAAATGAAGTGGTGAAAGCGACCCACGCCGTCTCGCCTGGGATCCGAGATCTTGTCAGCACGAGACGTGATGTCTGCGTGCATCGCCTGTGCATCGGATTTTGCGGAGTCATGACCCAACCAAGTTCAGTAATCCAAGGCTTGCACCGGTCTTGCGGATCTGGCCAGAGAAGGCAGACCACATCATCTGGCGGGGGCGGTGCTGGCCCACGCCGCATTGCAGCTGGTATCACGGACACGTAGAAGCGAGGGCCCGTCGCAGGATAATCGAGCGACTCGTCGTCGGACACGGACGGGTGCACAGCGGATATGTGGAGGCCTTTGGGCTCAAAACGCCTAGAGAGTTCTCTAGCAACCACTTGCCCAGGGCGTACGTTTCTATGCTCGTCCACGTCTTCGAACCAACGGGGACGCTCGCGCTCCAGCAGCCTGGTAATTCGATCGTGGTACTCTGCGTGGTACTTTTCCGCCACGTCGAAGACTTCCCACTCTGGAAGCTCACCGAGCTCAAGCCAGCCATCAGCGTGTAAAGACTGGCTCAAGGTCTCGACCTTGACCTTGCCGTTTGGCGGCCAGACCGCCCTCTTCCCCATACTGGCCGAAGCGGCGAATCAAAATCCCTTGGCTCGTCGGAACGACCCCATGCACAGCACCCCCTCAATCCTATTGGTGGGTGCGGGGGATGGCGCGGGCAAACATTTCCATGCTGGGCTCGGGCTGCCCTGCCCTTGAGCCACGGTGGCATCCGGTTCGGAGTCGCCCCGCTTTCTTCCTGCAACCGGTCCCCTCGGAAATTTCGAATCCGCTTCATGTCAAACATTAATGGCATAACACATTCCACCGCAGAACATCCCCTATCCGCGTCCGCTTTTGCCGGGTTTGCGGGCATCGTGACCCCTCATTACGGGTACCCTGAGGTCTCCCCGCCCCCCACCGCACCGCACCCCCAACACACAAACACATAACATACACAAACAACACATAAAACATGCATCCCCCTAAAACACAACACACAACACAGCACAGCACAGCACAGCACAACACAACACAGCACAGAACAGCACAACACATCACAGCACAGCACAGCACAGCACAGCACAACGCAACACAACAAACACAACACAACACAACACAACACATACACACACACACACTCACACTCACACTTTTGGCGATCACTGCCCCGCACGCCGCGACGAGGCGGAGCAAGCCAGGCTCAGCATACGGGGCCCCGCGCGTGCTGGTGGCGGGCCTTCGGCCCGCGCTGCCTTCCGCCTTCCTCCTCCGTTCCTCCCTCCCTCTCCTCCGCCTCCTCCTCCTCCTTCTCGTCCTCCTCCTCCTCTTCCTCGTCCCACTCTTCATGTTTCACCCAGCGAGTTTTGACGGCCAGCAAACGAGGCCAGGGTAAAAGGGGGCAGCGTTAGCAGGTCGCCGCCCCCCTGAAAGCCCTGCTCCCCAGGTCGTCTGACACTGTCTCCAATGCAGCCAGGCCACCTCCTTAACCCCAGCCCGCAGGAGGAGGATGAGGAGCAGCAGCAGCAAAGGGCCGCCAGAGACGACTATGCGGCAGCGATCGTTGAACAAAGCTTCTTGCTTCTATGTACCCTGCGGCAGCACCCTGCGTTCCTCCCTCCTTCTCCTTCTCCTCCCTCCCTCCTCCCATCCCTGCGAACAGCACTCCGCGTGTCCATGTCGGCGCATCCCTCACACGTTCCATGACCCCATAGGGCGTTCCTCCTGAATCTCCAGCAGCGGCATTCGCATGCCGCCCTGCACCCCATGCGGCACACCGTTTCGTGGCCCATTAGGGAACTCCACCACATTCCCTTCCCTTGTGGCGGCGCTCGCATGCCGCCCAGCACCCGTTTCGGCACACCCCTCATACCTTTCGTGGCCACGTAAAGAGCTTTACCGAAGGCCACGGCGCTCGCATGCCGCCCAGCACCCATTTCGGCACAACGCTCTCACACGTTTCGAGGGGGGCTCCACCGAAGGCCCCAATGGCGACGCCCGTATGGCACCACCGCACCCGTTCCGGCATAACCTTCACACGTTTCGTGGCCCCACATGGTGCTCCACCTGCGGCCCAATGCCACCTTCGCATGCCAACCTGACCCCATTCTGGCACACCGCTCTCACGCTTCGTGGCCGCATAGGGAGCTCCACCGAAAGCCCCCATGGCGGCGTTCGCATGCCGCCCAACACCCATTCGGGCAGACCCCTCACCCGTTTCACGGGCGTTTGGGGAGTTCCACCGAAGGCGATCTTAACAACTGCGGTACTCATAACTGCAGATGGTTGGATCCGTCGCCAGGTACTTGTTTCATGCAGATTTTGGCGAACGCGCTCAACAGCGCGCGCATGTGGTCCGCATTTTACTTCCGCCATGATTGTACAACGCACTAGTGATGAGGGGGGCTAGGGGGCGATACTGGGATTGGGTGGCATGCTACGATGTGGTACCTATGATGAGGAGTCGTGCAAAATAGTGAACAACACAACACTCGGAGAAACCCGATAAGACCAGCATCGGCATGGGGCATCTTCCAATACATGTTCGTAAAATAAGCACGTGACCTTTATGCGAGAATTAAACTTGCGAAAGACTCAACCATATGCAATTGCGGATACCGCGTTGTGGGTACCGACCACTTTCGAAGAAACTCCGACGACACATGTTAGGGCTGTGCCGGGAAAGGGTCCGGTGGTGCCATGCGGGTGCTGCCACTGTGTCCTTCGGTGGAGCCCCTTTCTAAGGTCACGAAGCGCGTGAAGGGTGTGCCGAAAAGGGTGTGGTGGTGCCGTAACGGCGTTGCCACAGGGGCCTTAGGTGGAGCCCCCTATGGGACCACAAAACGTGTGAGGGCTGTGAAGCAAAGGGTGCGGTGGTGCCATGCGGTCGCTGCCACAGAGGCTTTAGGTGGAGCCCCCTATAGGGCCGCGAAATGTGTGAGGGCTGTGCCGAAACGGGCGCGGTGGTGACAAGCGGGCGCTGCCACTAGAGCCTTCGGTAGAACACCCTACAAGAATCACGGAACGTGTGAAGGATGTGCTGAAATCGACGCGGTGGTGCCATTCGGGCGCTGCCACTTGGGCCTTCCGTGAAATTCTCAATGGGGCCACAAAACGTGAGAGGGGTGTGCCGAAACGGGCGCGGTGATAGCAGGCGGGCGCTGCAACTGGGGTCTCAAGTGGAGCTCCCTGATGGGCCACGAAACGTGTCGGTAAGCACCGAAACGGGCGCGCTGGTGCCATGCGAACGCTACCACTGGTGCCTTCGGTGGAACTCCCGTTAGGGGCCACGAATCGTACGAGAGGTGTGCCGAAACGGAGGCGCTGGGGCTATGCGGGCGATGCCAGTAGGGCCTACGTGTGAGATGTGTACTGGTAAGTCTTTGAAACTCCCTAACCTCGTATGTACAGGGCCACTACACATGTGAAAGGTGAGCCGAAACGGGTGCAGTGGTGCCATGCGAGCCCTGCCACTTGGGCCTCATGTGGAGCTCTTTAATAGGCCACGAAAGGTGTGGAGGTGTGCCGCAACGGGCGCGCGGGCGCTGCCACTGGGGCCCTGAATGGACTTCCCTGATGGGCCACGAAACGTGTCGGGGTGCGCCGACACGGGCGCAGGTGTGCCATACGGGCGCTGCCACTGATGCCTTCGGTGAAGCTCCCTGTGGGGCCACGAAGCGTGTGAAGGGTGTGCCGAAGCAAAAACGGTGGTGTCATGCGGGCACTGCCAATGGGGCCTTCGGTGGACCTCCCTGTATGGGGCCACGCAGCGTGTTAGGGGTGCGCCGGAACAGGCACGGTGGTGCCATGCGGGCGCTGCCAGTGGAGCCTTCATTTGTGCCGAAGCAGTGACATGCCAAAGGCAGATGCAATGTGGCGGGAGGGGGGGGGGAGGGCGAGGAGGTTAAGAGAGAATGGTGAGGGAACGAAGGACGAGGACCCCACACTACAGGATTGTGGAAAAAAGGCATCGATTACATGCGTTTATGAAGTCGACGGGCACATGGTGAAAACATGCAACAGCATGCGGAGGCGACCGCAATGGCACGTGCGCGCTATAAGCATACGACAAACAACCCTAACACTGCCAAGTAGACGCGCCAGGATGTGCGTCTAGAGGCGTTAGATCGGCGATCGGAGGTTCAACGCAGGTCGGTGAAGGCTTAACGAATTGCGTAGGCCCGCTGTACGACGACAAATAGATTACGACAGGCATACGAGTATACACGCACTCTGAAGCTATTGCGACGGACGATCAGATGGCAAATCTGCTGCCGATCAATGGATGTGTCCAACTGTCTCAAACTTATGTCGCCCCCCAGCGCGACTGGAGGCCGATAGATTTTCGGAGGGGGGCTTGCTGGTTGGCGCACCTGGTGCAATGAAAGAGCAAGTGCGGGCTGCCTCAGATGTCACAGACATGCTGTATGAAAGCGGTAGGGATATTTTCGGGCTGCTCTGATAGACCGCGTAAAGATCGCATCTGGAATCGTAGTAAGAACGCCACGGGACAACACACAATGCCGTAGTCATACTAATAGTGGGAGTCTGCGCAGTCCGTCGGAGTCGTAGAAGCAGTAGTAATAGAAGCAGTAGCCGTAGAAGCAATAGTAGAAATGGTCGTAGTAGTGGTAGTAGTCGTAGTAGTAGAAGTAGTAATAGAAGTAGCAGCAGTAGTGGTAGTAGTAGTCGTAGTAGTAGTAGCAGGAGTAGTAGTAGTAGTAGTCGTAGCAGTAGTAGTAGTAGTAGTAGTAGTAGTAGTAGTGGTAGTGGTAGTAGTCGTAGTAGTAGTAGTAGCAGTAGTAGTAGTAGTAGTAGTTGTAGTAGTAGTAGTAGTAGTGGTGCTAAAACGAAGAGTAATAATATGATGACCAGTCGTAGTCGTAGTAATAGTAGTCGTAGTAGTAGTAGTCGTCGTCGTAGTAGTAGTCGTATCAGTCGTCGTAGCCGTAGCCGTAGCCGTAGCCGAAGTAGTAGTAGTAGCAGTGGTAGTCGTAGTAGTAGTACTAGTAGTAGCAGTAACGTAGTAGTAGTAGTAGTGGTGGTGGTAGTAGTAGTAGCAGTTATTGTTGTTGTAATCCGACTGGTATACCAATACTAGCAATAGAAAGTAGTAGTAGTAGTAGTAGTAGTAGTAATAGTAGTAGTAGTAGTAGTAGTAGTAGTAGTCATAGTGGTAGTAGTAGTAGTAGTAGTAGTAGTCGTAGTCGCAGTTGCAGTAGTAGTAGTAGTAGTAGTAGTAGTCATAGTGGTAGTAGTAGTAGTAGTAGTCGTAGTCGCAGATGCTGTAGTAGTAGTAGTAGTAGTAGAAGTAATAGAAGAAGTAGCCGTAAAAGTAGTGACAGCTGCAATAATAGTAGTATTAGTAGCCGTAGTCGTAGCCGTGGTAGTAGTAGTAGTAGTAGTAGTAGTAGTAGTAGTAGTAGTAGTAGTAGTAAAAGTAATAGTAGTAGTAGTCCTAGTAGTATCAGGGGTAGTCGTAGTAGTGGTAGTAGTAGTAGAAGTATCCGTACTAGTAGTAGCAGTAGTAGTAGTAGTAGTAGTAGTAGTAGTAGTAGTAGACATGGTAGCAGTAGCAGTAGCGATCGTATAAGAAGTGTTCGTAGTAGTAGTAGTAGTAGTAGTAGTAGTAGCAGTGGTCGTAGTAGTAGTAGCAGTCGTAATACTAGACGTAGGCGTAGTAGCCGTAGTAACGTACGTAATAGTAGTCGTGATAGTAATATGAGTAGTAGCTGCAAGAGTAATAATAGTAATCGTGACCGTGATGATAATAAACGTGTTAGTAATTCTCAAAATAAGTAGTAGTCGTTATAGTAATGATAGCAGTGGTAGTGGTAGTGGTAGTGGTAGTGGTAGTAGTAGTAGTAGTAGTAGTAGTAGTAGTCGTAGTAGTAGTAGTAGTAGTAGTAGTGGTAGTAGTAGTAGTAGTAGCAGTAGTAGTAGTAGTAGTAGTAGTAGTAGTAGTAGTAGTGGCGGTGGTGGTAGTAGTAGTAGTAGTAGTAGTAATAATAGTACGATATAGTAGTAGCAGTAGTAGTAGTAGTAGTCGTCGTGGTAGTAGTAGTAGTAATACTAATCGTAGTCGTAGTAGTAGTAGTAGTAGTCGTCGTCGTAGTAGGTCGTAGTAGTAGTAGTCGTAGAAGTAATAGTAGTAGTAGTAGTAGTAGTAGTAGTAGTAGTAGTAGTAGTCGTAGTCGTAGTCGTAGTAGTACTACTAGTAATACTACTATTCGTAGTAGTAGTAGTAGTAGTAGTAGTAGTAGTAGTAGTAGTAGTAGTAGAAGTGTAGTAGTAGTAGTAGTCGTGGTAAAAGTAGCAGTAGTCGTAGTAGTAGTAGTAGTAGTAGTAGTAGTAGTAGTAGTAGTAGTAGTAGTAGTAGTAGTAATAGTAGTAGTAGTAGTAGTAGTAGTAGTAGTAGTAGTGGTAGTAGTAGTAGTAATGGTAAAAATAGTCATCGTCGTCGTAATCTCCGGCGTCGTCGTTGTCGCTGTCATCGTTGTTGTCGTTTGTAGAAAAAGTAGCCGTAATACCCTGACTGGTGAGAGCAATCGTAGGAACACGACGCGGGGACACGCTGGCCAACGATGGGGGGCCACGAAAGGCCAATGATTTCGGGGGCCCAGGCTATAAGGGGGCACGATGAACCACCGATGTCGGGAGCTCTGGCTCCCTCACTGGGCGTTCGAATAAACATGTTGCCATTAGACACAAACCCGGGCACTCGAACACCGATCCCCTCCCCCAATTCCCTCTCCAGCTCTGCGCAGAAGGTACGTGCACACAACCGCCTTATCTGGCAAGGGCCTTCCGGGGCCCTGGCATGGCATATATGCCGTCCTGGCCAGGGCCAGGATGGTCTGCACGCCATCCTACGAGCCTCGCAAAGATCAGAAGCGCAATTGGTTTGCGTGGGGCTCGATTCCAGGCACTTGTCAACAATTCCATTCTTCAATGCTGACAGGAGGGTGTCGGGCTTCGGACACCCCCGTGCGGAGGCGAGAGACATGGTGCCAGCATCGGAGCAGCGCTGCCCACGAGTGCCGCACACGCAAACGCAGCTGGCTGATGTTTGACGAGCCTCGCAGGGCCCAGAATGATCCTGGCCAAACATGGCTTGGGCGCCCGAATTATTCGGGGTAACTCGGGTCCGGGGTAACTCGGGTTTGGATTCCCGAAAAAGGAACCCGAGTTATCCCTGACCCGAGTTACCCCTGATGATTCGGGGCCCTGGGCGCCCGAGTTATCCGGGGTAACTCGGGTCCGGGGTAAGTCGGGTTCGGATTCCCGAGAAACGAACCCGAGTTATCCCTGACCCGATTTACCCCTGATGACTCGGGGCTCTGAATGGCGGCGGTGTGCATACGCCTTGCGCGGAAGCTCGCCAAGCCCAGACCGGAGCCCGGGCGGGCGAAACGAGCTCAAAGGCGCGCGCGGGGTCCCCGTCACCACCGAGCGCAGCACCCGCTCTCGCGACGCGCCGCGCTGGAACTCGAGCAAGGGCCGCATGACGACGGCCTCCGCGGCAGGCACCGCCAGCAGAGCTGGCCGACAAGAGGATCGGGTGCGCCGAAGAGTAAGGCGGAGTCAGGACGAGGACCAATCCGGATGGGGACGAATCGGGCGGCTCGGGAGGATGTCTCGGGCGCCGCGGCCTTCTTGTCCCAGGCCCGTCCGACAATCCCTGAGTGTTTCGTTCGTGACGGCCTCTGAGGCCCATGGTCGGACCCTGTGGCATTCCACCGTGGACAGTGGCTCCTGGAGGAAGCAGAACTCCCCACCTCTGGGGCCGCGCACTGAGAGAGCACATTGTCGCAACTATGCCAGGGAGGCGGGCCAGCGAAGAAGGGGATGTGCGCACCGTGGCCCGAGGAGGGGAGGCCGAGGAGGAGGGGGAGGAGGGGGAGGAGGAGGGGGAGGAGGAGGAGGAGGAGGAGGAGGAGGAGAAGGAGGAGGAGGAGGAGGAGGAGGAGGAGGACGAGGAGGAGGAGGAGGAGGAGGAGGAGGAGGAGGAGGAGGAGGAGGATGTGCGCTCTCATCCCCTCTCATCTCGGCGGCGAGCGCAGGGTGGACGCGAGAGGGGGCGGGCCTCCTCAGAAGGCGCGGAAGGCCCCCAGGCCTTCTGAGAAGTGGTCGAAACCTCCTCCCCAGAAGACACAGAAAACCTCTCACAGAAGGCCGGAGAGCTTCTGAGAAGCCCCGCCGCCTTCCGAGAAATGTGACACGATTTTCTGTTTGCGCACCGACCCCACGAACAGGCGGGTCCGGCACAAGACCGTGAAGCGGGGGCTGTGTACCAAAACGCCATCCCTTAGGGACACGATGTTTTTACACCACCCCGACAAACAGGCTGGTCCAGCAGCAAGTGCTCGCGCGTGGGCGGTGGGCATAAATCGGCCCCCGAAGAAGGGTTGCCCCATTCTCACTTCCCCCCTCGCTCGTCGCCGAAATCAAGATAGTCAAGACTCGAATCGATAAGTCGGATCGGCGATGGGAACAAATCGGATCGGCGGATGCGGGTTGACTGTAAGCGCCACGACAAGCGACACCGTTCAGCAAACGCAGACAAGAGGGGGATCGAAGAGGGCAGGGCTGTCCAGCAACCGCACAGGGCCGTTCAGCTTACGCCAATCATCGGGGTCGGGCTGGTTCTCCTCCTTCCAACTGGTGCTTCCGTTCGGAGCGGTCTGTTGCGCCATTTCTCGGATCGGCGCCCCGCTGCAGCACTGGCCACACTTCAGGATCTGGCCACCGCTCGGACGTCCATCCCCTGTGCTGTCTTCGGTCTCGTGCGTGGATTTTTGTCCCCGAGCGATCAAGGGTGCTCCTCGATGGTCCTCGCCGAAGGGAACACGCACACGTCCGAACGACGCCACGGCACTGGCCACACTCCGGGAGCGGCGCCCTGCTTCCGTCGCTCGTCGTGGCGCCTTCGCCTCGCTCGCGGGCCACACTTCTGGCCCCGGGCCTGCCTCGTCGCTGTCGCCCCCTCTCCTTCCCCCCCCCCCTCTGCCCTCCCCCGTGAAATGGGGCCCAGTGACACCACAAGAAATAGGCATGAGCCCCAGGATCCCCCCGATCGTCAATGGTTCTGGATCTCCGTCTTCCCCGTCGCTTCCCATCCCCTCCAGATTTGTCGTGGGGGTCCACGGTTACGTGTGTCTGTGTGTGTGTGTCCCTCTCGACCCTGGTCCTCCTGCTGCTATGGTTTCCCGTGCTCGTGCTCCAACAGCTGCTGTTGCTTTCGCACAGCTGCTTCCTCTGTGCTTCTCCTCGTCCTCCTCGTCCTGCACATCTTGCGCATCCTCCTCTTCCTGTCATCCCCCTCCCGTTAGCCTGTTCATCCTCCTCCTCCTTCTCCTCCTCCTCCTGTTTTCCTGCTCATTCCTCCTTTTCGCTCCCCCCCCTTCTGGTCCTCTTATCCTTTCTTCCTCCTCCTGGTTTCCTGTTCGTCCTCATTCTCATCCACCACCTCCTCCTCCCCTTGATTGCCCACCGCTCCTTTTTGTGCGTTGGCGTAACACGATGGCGCTACTTTGGGGCTCCAGGTCCCAGTCCCAGGTCCCGATGGAACCCATCAGCGGAAGGAGAACTCACCAGTCCAACGAGAAAGGATGGGTGGAAAGGGCAGGAGGCAGGATGTCAGATCTGGCGCGAGAGCACCACACTTGCCTCTCGCCTCCCACCCCTGTCTCCTGCTCCCCCCTGAACATCCTGAACATGAATACTACTCTCCTCTTCCCTCGGACAACGTACTGGAAATATCCTGCCATCTTTGCTTGAATAAAACTCCGTATCTCAATGCTTTTGTTGGCCGGTGTCATGCATGGTCTTTGCAATTTGACCGTGTCGGGTGTGTCAAAAGTTGCTCCCGGTGAGGCGCTGCCCTCCTCTCGGGGTCGGCGCTTGGCCCCCATCGCTCAACATGGCGCTCTCGCACCGGCGCGGCAAACATTTCCAAATCCGAATATTTCCTCGTCGTTGTCGCTCCTCCTCCTCCTTCCGCCTTCCCCTGGTCCTCCTACTGCTGTTCCTCCTCGTCATCCTCCTTCCACCACCTCCTCCTCCTCCTCCCTGTCATCCTGCGTATCCTGCTGCTCATCCCCCCACCTCTTCTTCTTCCTCCTCCTCCTGCTCCGTACACAGCTCCCCCTTGCAGATTGCGCATCATACGATTGGCACAAGCTCACCTAGCTTGCCTCTCGCCTCTCTCCTCCACAACCCTCCTCCTCCTCCTCCTCCTCGTCTCCTCCTCCTCATCCTCCCCTTTCCGCCTCATCTTCCCCCCAATGCTTCTCCTCCTGCATCCTCCCTCCTCCTCCTCCTTTGCCTCTCTCCGTTTCCCTCCTCTGAATTCCTCCTCATCCTCCTACGTCCTTCTTCCTCCTTCCTGCATCATTCTTCCTACGTCCTCCTCCCCCTCCTCCTGCTCCTCCTCCCCTTCCCTTCCCCTCCTCCTCCTTGTGTCCCTCCATCTGCTCCCTCTCCTGCTCCTGATTCGCCTTCGTCGCCTTCTTGTTTCTCCTCCTGTTCCTCCCAAGGGCTCCGTGCGCAAGCGGCCTGCCGTTGTCCAAGGGGACGAGACGGGGCTGCGGTTCTTTTCACGTACGCAGGAGCCAAGCGCGCCCGCCTCCCGTCGTGCTGGGAGACTAGCCACGACCACTCAGCGGAATGAAATCCTGGTCGAAATACGTCCAGATAGTTTCCGTCTGTCGAACACATGGTCTCGGCACATCGCCCCAGAACAGCACGACAAGCCAACAGATCGAGATCCCCAAAGTTCCGTAGCCGAGCCTGCTATGAGCGCGAGCAGCCTCGTTGCCAGTAGTAGCGCAGCTGCTGGCAGTAGTGGTCTTCGGCCCCCCAGCAGCTCCGTGCTGGGTTCGGCCCCTCGCCTGTCCCCATGGGTCTCCCCCCTTTGCGCTCACCATCGCCACGCAGGCAGGAGGGATACATGACCGCCGGGCGCCGCAGACGCAATGCTATCAGAGCTCGTGGCGTTTCTCACTGGGTGCCACCTTCCCCGTAGTCTGGGCAAGGATGCCGGCGAACGTTTCTGGTCCGCCCACTCCTCAATGCCATCTCGCAGCTCTGACGGAACGGATCGTCACTGGTTACCCCAGAGCCACTGCGACAATTGGCGCGCGCTTCCCACCTCTCGCCCAGACGGCGATTTCATAGCCTGCCTGCACTACAAGGTTGCGAATCTCACAATTGAAAAAAGATCTACGCAAGACTACCGCAAGAGGAGCGCCCGCCGCTTCCGACAGCTGTCCGCACTAGCATGCAGCAAGAAGCTGTACCTCACCAGAAGGGGCAGGCCTGTCGTGGGAAGCGCAAGCATGAAGGCCTATGGCAGGGAGAGCGCCTGTGCAATGTGGGCAAAGCTTCGGTTGCAGGCCGTGCTGGGTCCAATATGCTGTCTCTGGCGGTCAGGAATTGTGACCCGAGTGGCTTTGCCGTCGCTCCGAAGACTATCCTGACGCACTGTCCCGAGGCAGAGCACTGTTGGACGCTTGCGCCTTGTAGGCCCGGTCAAGATTGTCTTGCATTCGGCCCGCGTTCTATTTGCGGCACGCCTCCATTCGCCTCCCCTTGCCCGACTTGGTTCAGACAGGCTCTCCTTGATTTTTCTCGAGTGCCCTTTGTTTAGACCTTCATCTGCAAATAGGTATGCCCAAAATCTGGCAATGTCGGCTCTGTCATTGAAGGGGAACCGGGACACACAAATAGATACACACACATAAACATGTCCCCCATATTTTCCCATATTTTCTGGGTTTTTGTCTTCCCCCCCCCCTTCCCATATTTTCCTATATTTTCCTGGGAATCGAGGATTAATTGTGTCTGTGTGTTTTTTTCCCTCCTGATTTGTTTAAACCCAAAATCTGGCAATGTCGGCTCTTTCATCGCGTTGTGCCGTTCCCTCTCCGTGCCCGCGCCGTGGGTCCGCCCCCGCTCGCTCTCCTGATACTGCGGGTTCCCCCTGGCCCTCGCTCCTTCTTCTCGTCCTCCTCCTCGTCCTCCTTCTCGTCCTCCTTCTCGTCCTCGCTCCCCTGATATTGCTCGTCCTCCTTCTCGTCCTCCTCCTCCTCCTGCTCCTCGGCCATGCCGACACGTTGCGAGCGGGGTCGTCCCCGCTCGCGCTCCTTTGCCACTCGTCTGTTGATTGCATTGTACTTCGCGCTCGCTGCCGCTCCGTCTCTCGGGTCGGGCGAAAGGGGGGGACAGCAAAGGGGGGGTTTGAGAATCAGCTCACGTAGCTGATTTTCCCGGCGCCTCCCGGCGCCGGAGGCGGCTATGTATCGAGGAATGGGACCCTCGGTGAGGCCGAAACCAGCTGCATGCAGCAGATTTCGTAACCCCCCCTTTCCCAATCCCCCCCTTTCGCCCGGCCCGAGTCTCTTGAACCCTAGCCGAGGCTTCATAGTCCTCAAACTCCCACTATGTTACAAGATGGCAACCCAGGATGGCAACCTGCTCCGCTTCCCAGTGGGACGCCCCTGTTCCCCCCCCTC